TGTTATATATATATATATATATATATATATATATGTATATAGTTCATACATAATGAAGGAGATGATAATGGTACTCCTTAAAAGCAAATGGAATTATGAAGGTTATGAGAGGATCTACTTTCAGGTATAAATTTTACACACTATACTTATACAAAATCTCAATTATTATTTTTTAATTTTTAATAATTGAGACTTATCACAACTTTGTAGATGATTATTTACAGTTGCTTCTGCAAGCAAAGGTGGAACTTAATGTGCAGTCAGCTAGCGGAGAGTCCCCACTGGCGTTTTATACGTGTACCACTTAGCAATCAGGAGATAAACGACTAAATTCACCACACTTAATACTGTCAACAGCCAGAAGAAGTAATGGAGATGGCCATAGTTTAAGTTGTCAGGTATCCATCCTACCTTCCCATTCTTGGTACTCACACTTGTGACAATAGTCACAAGAAGAGAACTTAGGTAGTTTCCAAGTGCCCCGATGGTGAGTTGCAGGGCAGAGCAGAAGCTTCTCATGGCATCAGGTGCTTGTTCATAGAAAAATTCCAGCTGTCCAATGATGGTAAAGACCTCTGCACACCCTATCAGGAAGTATTGTGGGACTTGCCAAAATATGGACATGGGCATTTCCTTGAGATTATAGTAGTTATGCCTTCTCACTTCTCGGAGCCTTACTAGCTCTAAGATTGCAGCAGCAACCATTGCAAATATGGATATGATGAGACCAATGCCTATACGTTGAAGTTGAGTTATGCCACTCCTGTGACCAGTGAATTTTCTTGCCACTGGGACTATTATTTGGTCATATATTGGCACCCAGAAGATGACACTAAGGGTGTCAAAAATGGAAAGTGATGCTGGAGGGATCTTGAAGTCGGATTCTCCAACATGAGTGTTCATTCTTTCACCTTGCAACACAAATAAGCTGCTCATCTGACTGTACACAGCAGCAAACATGATCCCAGTGGCCCATATAGGAAGCAATCGTATGATAGCTTTTAGCTCCTCAACTTGGGTGACTGTGCAGAGTCTCCATGGATTCACTGTGCCCTTTTTGTGGTCTAATTGGGTTTCTACAGCTGCCTTGTCAAAGAAACTGAAGATTACAGCATAGGTGAGAAACTTGGAATTTTGATTTGT